TGGCTGTGAAGACAGCTGTCACTCCAAGTCTGTCTTCTGATGGGCCGGTAGTTCTCATTCTGGCCATCCACAGCCAGCTGTCTTTTCCCAGACAAGCTACATTACCTTGAGTCTCCTCATAAAATAAAAAGACTAGAGGAGAAAAGTGTTAGTTCCTTCCCAGCCTTGCTGTCCCTGGTGTGTAAGGAGGGACTTAAAAGGCGTTCCCATCCGGTTCTCTCTCTGTCTGCTTTGTCTGCTCTCCATGCTCTCATGGAGTATTTGGTTAAAACATTTAAGTTGATGACTTTATGGAATATGATTCCCTGGTCTTGGAGAAATAAAAAGATGAATCTGAGACATCAGTACGTGCCACATTCTAGTTCAAATTATAAGCCTGTGCATAATAAGTAAAACTATATTAGAAATAAAAGCTTCTCAAAAATCCCAAGTGCTCATTACCCAAAAAATGATGATAGAGGGGGTCCCACAAATGCGTACTTGTATATATGTCATAGTATACAGAGGCCAGGGAAATAGATAGTGTCACCTAACCTAACCAGCTTTTAAGCATAATTACAGTGGTTTGGCCGGAAAGGAATTCTGAATGCAGTAAGGCTAGCCATTAGTGGGCCACAGAGCATTAAAGACTTCCCTGAAAACCTTTTGGAATTTTTTATGCTAATTCATATTTCAGGAGATAATACCTATTGGATGTACTATAATTTGAGAAACATGGGATGATGAAGGAACTGGTACAACGTCTAGACCAGAGGAACAGAAGGAGGTTTAGCTTGCAAAATCACAGGCTCCACATGGTCAGCAGCTTATCTTCTTTGTTTAGCTCAAGTTAGGTGAATTTACCTAGTTGAACAGGAGTATTTTATTTATTTTTTTTGTTTGTTTTGAGACCGAATCTCACTCTTGTTGCCCAGGTTGGAGTGCAATGGCGCAGTCTCTGCTCACTGCAACCTCCCCCTCCTAGGTTTAAGTGTTTCTCCTGCCTCAACCTCCTGAGCAGCTGGGATTATAGGCACGTGCCACCAGGGCCAGCTAATTTTTGTGTCTTTAGTAGAGACGGGCTGGGTTTTGCCATGTTGGCCAGGCTGGTCTCGAACTCCCGACCTCAGGTGATCCACCCACCTCAGCATCCCAAAGTGGTGGGATTACAGGTGTGAGCCACCACGCCTGGCCAGGAGTATTTTAAATTTACATTTGACATTGAATGATTTCAGATAGTTCCTGGACATCAGGAGAAACAATTCAGGGTAGCACATATGTAGTGTAATAATTCTGCTGATACAATGCCCTGCTCATAGTTGTAGCCCATTATTCCAGGTAATGATGATGCTATAATCAGAAGGTTTTCTGTTATATTGTGGTTTTGATGTGCACAATAGGAAATGCTTTCACTGTTTTCATAGGCAAGGAGAGTCCACACATAATGCGAGGCTTTCCATATTAGGCTTTTAGGAGACATGGACGTGGTGATGATCGCATGGGGTGTTTGAGAAAGTGGAGACGGACTGAATTCCGAGGCTTCTGTGGGGCAAGCAGAGTGAAGAATCCAGTCAAATGATGTCAGCCAAGGGTGGCAAGCCCGTGCCCGAAAACCTGGCAGCAGCTTACCCATACCAAGCCACCTGAGACATTTCCTGGGCTGGAAACAATGTTACGGAAATGGAACTTCCCTGCCAAATTTACCACACCTCGCCAAAGCAGGGGCGCCTCTCTTATTCATGGGTGCATCACGAATAATTGCAGCTTTATAGCACATCTAGTAAGAACTTCAGTGAAAGTGAAAAGGAGTTGGTAAAGCTGAATTTTAGGCAACCAGAGAAGGGAGATGTGGGTGTTTTCCCTCACACGTTAGAAGGGATGCCGTCAGTTGTACACCTATTGTGAATCCCCACTCATGAGGGAAGTCATGTATCTGACTGTGCGAATCAAAGAGCTTTGACTGTTTGTTTGTTTTGGTTTTGGCTTGGGTGCAATTTTTCGAGAAAATCATAACTAGATCACCTGTAAAAAATTAAAAAATAGGATTGAGCGTGCCTAGAAATAAAGACTACACGTGACTGGCTTTTCTCTACTCAGGTCCAAGTGAACTGCTTCGTCCACTTAGTAAATATTTAGTGATGCTGGATATTTACAGAGTGTTTATGTACATTCTGTATTCTCTACAGTCCTGGGAGATCATTGTCTATCCTTGTCAATACACATACACACACAGAAGAGAGAACAGGGAACCCTACAGGCCTTGAGAAGTTAAAGAACGTGTGAATTTCAGAGTTGCTGGGCAGCTTAGAGCTTTTCTAACACTGAACTTTCCTCATTCCAAGTCTCAGTCGCCCCTCAAAAACTGTGCCATCAGCGCAAGACCCTGTGATTTCTGTGGTATTCTAATTTTATCTGAGATTTATGAGAAGGTATGAGGTGAAAAGAAGTTGTGCAACAGGAAATTGGACTATGGCATCCCACAGTGTATCTTCCCTGCCAACTTCCTAATGAAGGATGAACTCCAAATATTAAAAAGTTATTAAAGCATACTAGAAAGTCTTTCCAAATGCTTTAACAAGCTAGCAAGCACATCCAGTATCATTCATTTACTCAGCAAACATGTCCTGAGTTTGCTCTGTGCTCAGCATTCCCCTGAATGAGTAGGACATTGACCAGGCCGTCATGGGTTGGGCTTGGAAGGGAGGGGCCTGGATGCAGAAATAAATTGAGATTCACTGTCCCCTGAGGAGGGACTGACCAGATGTGTCTGGGGGAGTGAGGAGAAGCTTCAGGACAGAACTGAAACCCGACAGTGGAGAGTTTGGTGGAGAAGCTGGAGGGGAGGCTGTGTCCCTGGAGGATGGCACGAGGCTAGTGTGGCCGGAGGGGCTCCGGAGCGGAGGCAGTAAGGAAGGCTTTACCGGCTAAGGAAGGCCTTGCTTGCCTCGCCCAAAGTTCCATGGAAACATGAAAATGTGTTTTCTATCAAGGGATACAGTCATAAATTGATCAAGATCTGTCCTACCTGTTTATATCACTGGAGAAACCTTTCTAATCCTTTAAGGAATTTTAGGACCCTCGCTAACACCTTTCTTCATTTCCAATAGCATTGGCTGTCTTAGATAATAGTCAGCCCTCTGGATCCCTGGGCTCCACATTCATGTATTGAACCAACCACAGATCACAAGTATTTGGAAAAAGAAAACAAAAACAGTAATACAATAATAGAAATAATGCCAGTAAAAAAGCAATATAGCATGACAGCTATTTACGTAGTCTTTGCATTATATCAGATATTGCAAGTAATGCAGAGATGATTCAAAGTATACAGGAGGATGTAAGTGGGTATGTGCAGATGCTACAACATTTTTTATCAGGACTTGAGCATCTGTGAATTTTGGTATCCAAAGGGTTCCTGCCACCAGTTCCCTCAAATACTGACGGGCAACTGTACTCACGAGACTAGTTGTTACAGTTTAAGAGACTCCTAAATCGTAAAACATTTTGTAAAAAGAAAGATTTATTCACACGAAGAACTCAGCTAGTCAGGACTAAGAAAGAACTGGTGGGAAGTAAAGCCATGGTTTAAATGGAAATGTCATGGGCACTCCCCAAGGGCTGGAAAACCATGTGTCTTAAGCAGCCCTTTTGTGGAGTGTTATTGCACTGATTTATTTGACAAGCTCCCTTTTTAGATGTTAGTGAAACTCTCTGAGGTATCACAGATTTCAAATTAATGTGATCTCAATCCATGAGGCATCCTTTGCAATAATCTGAGATGGGAAGTAGCTGTTCTCGGATACCTCTTTCTGCTACTCTTCTTTCCCTTACTGAATATCATTCTCTGACCAAGTCCTCTGCTCTAATGTGCATTCAGCCACGTATGTATAAATATTGTCCATTTGCTCAGCTCTACACCCACTGCACATTTTACTATTTTCATTCTTACATAAAAGATCTAGAACAGGAAATGTATTGGGAGTGTTATACATACCCACTATATACAGTCAAGGCGAAGTTTTAAGTTTTCTCATGTTTCCTTTTATAACTTGGATAACTGAGAGTTAAATGTGTCCATTTGGTATGGGTAATTTAAGCATTTGTAGGTACTGGGTGATTATTGTAAACCTAAGACTTTAAATAATATATAAGGAATCAGTTTCAACACTAAAAACATCTGACCAACAAAGAGTTCCTTTTATAAGATGAGAAAGACATGGAATTATTTTGCAGTTGCCTTAAATCAATTTAAACACCTGTTATGTGAGGGAGAGTAGGGATTATCTATAAGAGGTAACTCCAGGAAGTCCATGTGGAATTTTGCAATTTCCTCTTTACAGGTGACCTGATAAAGAACCTGCATGTCACAGTAGTGAGATGTAACAGAAAAGATATAGTAATTAAGGTGACTGATTACCATTCAAATACATGTAAATCACAGTCTACCCAGAGGAGGATGGGAGTCCTCTTGCCGCAGGCTTATTCCTCAGAACCAAAGGGCTTTCTGAAAATCCGAAGCTCTCAGAGTGCGGGTGTGTGCCCACACTGGCAGTGCCAGGATCACCATCACCACGTGCACATCCAGGGTGTCCAGTTGTACCAGGACATCCATTTCTTACCCCATACTAGAAATAATCAATTCATTTATGGTTAACAATATTACCATGAAAAATGTTAATTTGGCAATGTTAAGACCAAAGCAAAACAGAGAGTTTTGATACTTGCCAAAAAAGAAAAGGCTTGAAATTAGTGGGCTGGTTGAAGGGGGACTGGAACTCCAAGCTGCTCCCATCTTCCATTCCAGCTTTTAAGGCTTCTTAATTGAATTGGAAGCTCGGTTGAAAAAAGATTAGAAAAGAATCATCTGTTCTTTCCTCTGTTTTCAGATAAAGTCCTAAGAACTTTTTTGAGGGCAATTTAACTATATCCATTAAAATGTCAAATTCACATATCCTTTGACCCAATAATTTCATTTTTAGACATGTTCCCCACAGAAAACTCAAAACAAGTGTACAGTACAAGTTGTACAGGAAGCTTTATTGCTACACTGTTTGCACTAATGAGTACTTGAAGAGAACATGTCTCTCAATAAAGAACTGTTTGTCTGTACTATGAGGCCATTCAAAAGCATGAAATAAATCTTCATGTACCAACACGGAAGGATGCCCATGGCATGTCGTTGAAAGACAAAAGATTACTGAGGAGAATGTGCATACACTTGATCCAACTTTTGTGAACAGACAACCCAAACGTGTAAACATATGAGTGTTATAATTATTTATATTTGTAGAGTAAGTGTTCTAGAAAGATAGCACCGAAATACTATCAGTGTTTTGCTCTGTGGAGTGGAATTGTATGAGGATTGGTGGTTATGGGGGAAATCCTTTACTTTATTATCCTACTACTTTCACTTCATTTTTTTAAATATTTAACTTTAATTTTTGTGGGTACATAAGTGTGTATATTTATGGTACATGAGCTATTTGGATACAGACATGCAATGTGTAATAATCACATCAGGGTAAATGGGATATCCACTACCTCAAGCACTTACCCTTTGTGTTACAAACAATCCAGTTATACTCTTTTAGTTTTACTTTCTGACACTTTAATTTCTCATAATGAATATTCTTTTTGTAAAAAGAAAACATAGGAAGAAAGCAAGTCCCAGGCATGTTCAGAGAGAGCTGATTAGCAGTAGAACTACTTCTGGCACCCTCCTATTTCCCGATCAGTATTAATCAGAAGAATTACTTTTCACTTCCTGTAATGGTTACTCCATTTTAGAGCCAGAATTTAGCCTAATCTACTCATTTGACTTCTAAGAAAACTGAGCCCAGAGGGGAGTAAGTTCCTGGAGAGTGGCCCTCAGGTGGTGGCTGAGGACTGAGTAAGCTGCCTCCCGCAGGCCTACCCCAGCCCCACCGCTCCCCGACCCTGTCCCTTCCCACCTCCATCCCACCCCCTCCCCATCCCATCCCACCCCTGGGCAAAGTGAAAGTGAACAAAAGAACTCCACTGCTTATTCAGCAGATGGGAGCCAGCAGCTTTGCTTTGTCTTAGAGCCTGTCCTTGACGGGTTCTAAGACTAAAAAGAAAAGCTATAAACGTGTAATTCAGAGATTGAAGGTACCGATCTTTGTTGTCAGTGACTGAAAACCAGGCCTAGCAAGAGCCTTGTTTACTGCCTGTCAGCCCAGAGTGTGCCAGATACACTGGACATCTTAGATACAGATGACTTGGTGGTTTTCTCTCTCTCTCTCCCTCTCTCTCCCCGCCCCCTCTGTGTGTGTGTGTGTGTGTGTGTGTGTGTGTGTGTGTTTTCCTCCTAAAAGAAGGCTTCTCACACCACCACTAATGAGAAAAATAATTCAAGGAAAATGTAGTTACACTCAGTGTAGAAAGTGAATCACTGTTAAAAGCAAAAAGAGGATAATTGTCAGACTTAGAACTCTGCGAATTTGAGTTCTGAGCTCCAAAACTGGTAGAATTCAAACTTTAAATGTAGAATGCACTAGCATTCTATGTCTTAAACAGTTGAAAGGAAAGGCTTAGATACCGAATAATGATCCTAAATCAGTCTTGTGCAGAGTAAGGAGATGCCGCTTTGTGAGTATACTTTATTTCTAAAGTTTACCAATCTCAAAGGCTACTTGGAGCTCTCATTTCAGAAATAATTTAAAGATACTCATTCTTTTTTTAAAAAAAAATATGGAAGCTTCACGCATTTGTGTGTCATGCTTGCGCAGGGGCCGTGCTAATCTTCTCTGTATCGTTCTAGTTTTTGTGTATGTGCTGCCGAAGCGAGCACCAAGATGCTCATTCTGTACAGTTTTGTAGTATGATTAGCTTCGAAGTTCATTGCAGACACAAATGAACTTTCCCTAAAATGCAACACAAGAGCACAAATTAGTGAGTAAAGATGAGAGGAGGTTATTTTACATCTCTTCCTGCAGGCTGTGAGAATTTTTCCCTTCAAGCAGGATATACCGATTCAATCCTTACCATGAGAGCCACTCCCCTCGGGACATAAATTAGTCTTCGTGTATTTCAAGTTCTGCACATGGTCACATTCCAACAGGGTGCAGCAGTTGACTTTTGTCTTTAACTTTCTTTGGCAAACTGATAGCATCAGAGGAAGAGATAAGCTGCCCCTTAGAGAATTGACCGTAATGGGTTCCAGACCTCTGCACGCCCCTGGTGCAAGCACCAGGTTTCTTTTAAAGACTCAGGGTTATGTTGCGTGTTGGGATGTTTTGTTGTTTGCTTTCGAAGAAGCCAGATCAGATTTCTGTCAACTTCAGTAGGAGAAGAGGGATACATTTTAAAGGTGATCTCTAGAATGCTCTGGCCGACTTCACTGCAGGCATACAAGGAGAGAGGAAGAGACGGTGTATATTTTGGCACCTGAACTTCTGTAGTAACAATGCATTCATTCACAAATCTGGGGAGAACTGAATGTCTGCTTTTTAAAGTCTGAATTGGATTTTCGACTAGATTTTGAGACCCTGAGAAGGTTTTCAATCCAAACCATGCTCAGTATTTTATCATTATTGATGGAAAATGAAAGGAGATTTAAATTACTGATAGCCAGGTTTGACATTAGACTTTGACATTTATAATCTCACTTAAACTTGACAAGACATCTCCTTATAGGTATTATTGATCCCATTTTTCAAGCAAAAGTCACTGATGCTTGGAGAGAAGAACTAACTGGCACTCGAGATTTGTGCCACGTGTAGCGGGCTGCATCCACGAGCTCATAAAGAATTCAGAGCCGGTCCCAGCTGCTCTCCCCCTCCCCTCTTCTCACCCCCAAGCTGCCTCCATTAAAAGGAATGCCAGGCTAAATTCATTCCATTTTATTATATATACTTATGGATGCATTTGCTAATTTTTGGTGTCATAAAATACAGTGAATAAACTCCTATCTAATTTTTCAGTGTATTTCCTTAATTTTTAAAAGCAATAAACTTCTTTAATCCTCTCTCTTACTCGAAGAATACTAAGAAATGAAAGATCTGACTCTAAGCAGGAGAAGTTTTGTCTGAGTGTATAGCCAGGAAACTTCACTTGCCTGGGTCCTGAGATGAAGTGATCTGCTGGAACCCAAGTGTGGGGGCAGCTGGCGAGGCCTCAGCCCTCCAGCTCCTGCGTGAGAGGCCTTTTTCCTGCAAGCAACCTGGCTCCTGCGAGGAAGGAGCTCTCCCTTCAGCCCCGCTCTGCACCAATAATTTAAAAGATAAGAGGGAAACATTTTCCTGACTATAAAATGGTTTGTTTTGAATATAGTGTGTCTGGGCCTACACTTTCAAAAAGTCCCCTAAAAGATAAGTTGTTCACATTGCAAACGTGTTTGCAGAGCCTGGAAAGATGCAGTATTCTGTTAGGAAAGTTAGTCTCCTTTTGTCACTGACATAATTTCTAAGTCTGTCATTTCTAATATGCTCTCTTAGTTTTAGCTCAGAAGCAGCTGAGTATCATACGAAACGTGCAGTTTTTACTGCTGCTTAGCATGTGTCTTCAAACCCTAGCTGTGAACCCTGGCCTTCCGTGGGCAGGCAAGAGCAACGTGCTGAAGGAATTAATCTGGCCATGTGTCACTGAGAGGCCGGAGGCGGCCAGGAGGTACCCCTCCCAGCCAGCAGCGCAGCCCCACTTCCCAGCGTCTCCCTCCTCATCCTTCTTCCCACTCCTCTTACCTGCCAGGTACACCAGCGTTGATCTTGGCCTCGGAGCCGGTGGACCCACAGTCTGGCTTGCTTTTATTTTCTCCGTCTCCAGAATATCTCTCTCCTCCATACCCCCAGAAATTAAGTGACCTAAATATATTATATGGAAGAGAGAGACAGGATAAAACTGTTTGATAACTTAATAGTACAACTGGCCAGTCTCGTAGATTTTTTTGCATTCATTCCAAACCTGTTTGATTTTTGGGTTTTTTTGAAATGGAGTCTGGCTCTGTCACCCAGGCTGGAATGCAGTGGTGTGATCTTAGCTCACTGCAACCTCTGCCTCCCAGGTTCAAGCAATTCTCCCTGCCTCAGACTCCCAAGTAGCTGGGATTACAGGCTCCTGCCACCATGCCCAGGTAATTTTTATATTTTTAGTAGAGACGGGATTTCACCGTGCTGGCCAGGCTGGTCTCGAACTCCTGATCTCAAGTGAGCCACCTGTCTTGGCCTCTCAAAGTACTGGGATTACAGGTGTGAGCCACTGCCCAGCTGAAACCTGTTTCTATTAAAAACTTATACCTTGGCACTTTAATAAGTAATTTATTAAAAACCATTCATACTAAACATTAAAATAATTATGACTCTCTTCCCCCTTTGCTAAGCATATAGGTAACATTACACTAAATACTATCTCTGTCTACCAAAATAATCTAACGTGGAAGTTGCCACCACATTTCAGGTCTCCTGGAAATGTGCGGAGGTTTCCTGGAAAATGGAGGCAACACCTTGCTGTTGTTGAGGGCAGAAAAAAGAGAGGACTCTTAAGACACAAGGTCCTCTGCCGCTGCTGCCAGCGCCCTCACCAGAGCTGAGCTCTTGATACCAGTGAGTGAATCTGGAAGTCTCCTGCCTTCCTGAGTAAGTGGGAGACATAGAAGCTGCCTGGACAAGCTGGAGAAATGAGGGACGTAAAGACACAGCACACCCATCACCCCATGCCACCTGACTGGAAATGCCCGCCAAAGGGACACGGACACACAAGGCTGCACAGATGTAAAGCTCAATGTATTAAATTAGATAGCGAAGAAATAGACACCAAACCCAGCAACACAAAGTAGTACCTGCTTTAATGCACTTAAACATTCTTCTGTTTTAGGCTACACAGTACTTGCTGGCTTCATGTGGCTTCATGAAGGCAAGTGCTGGGTCTGTTTTGATTGCTACTAGATTTATGGCACCCAGCATGTAGTAAAAGCTCATCAATATTTGTTAAATTCACTGAGAGGGCTGGGTGAGAAGGTAGAATGAAAAGGAAAAAAAAAAAAAAAAAGCATCCGCCTGGGCAACATAGCAAGAGTGTCTCTACAAAAACAGGTGCAGTAATGCATGCCTGTAGTGCCGGCTCCTCTGGAGGCTGAGGCAGGAGGATTGCTTGAGCCCAGGAAGTCAAGGCTGCAGTGAGCCGTGATCATGCCACTCTACTGCAGCCTGGGCAACACAGTGGGACCCTGTCTCAAAGAAGCACCCCCGAAGTTGGTAGTCCCTACAAGAGTGTAGTTGCTCTTTAAGCTTGAATTTTTGGTTATTTTGCAAGAGGTATTTGCCTTAAGCCGTGGTGATTAGATTCATTCTGCTTTGTGGGCTTTTAGATGAGTTAATCGGCTATAATTTCTCTGAATTCCCTCTCATGCCTTTTAGATATGGATATCAAAAAACCTACGTGTTTGTATTTAGAGTATTTTATGTTGGACAGGTATCAGTGGGTAATATGACTTTGCACTAGAATTGCCTTTTCCCTGCCTCAGTTGCTTTTGGTAGCATTATCTGTTTATTCCCTGTTAAACCTTACAAAAAATATCATTTACTTTTTAGGATGAATAAATCAGTTTTTGTAATTTTAGCCATTTAGGAAAAACAGAAACTGCACTGCAATGTAAAGGGAGAAAAGTCACACGTAGCTAATTATTGCTAGGAAAATGAGAAGTGAGCTAGCAGCATCTGAGAGGACTTCAGGCCTGATCATCTCACATAATAACTTTTTCTTTCAGCCAGCATAATTTTACTAGCTTTTCCCATGTGTGTACAGAAATTTTTTTTCCATCGAAATTTTGGCCTTAAAAGTGAAATACAGGTTATCTTACAGATGACCAGTGGTCCCTCTGGAGGAAGTCCACAGAAGCTCTCCGATGCTCTGAAGACTGCCTCTGCTCACTCCTCCATCAGTGTCCTGCCTCCCAGCTTGCATCTTACCAAAGCTACAAAAGACCCTCAGTGACCTGGCCTGGGAGCATGGAATTGTTAGAAACCAGATAAAAGGCATGTAGGAAGTGCTGGTGTGGCAAATGCTGTGAAAAAATGTGCCACAACCTCTGAGGGCGGGAAACTGAAGGACCGACCTCATGTGTTCTGGAGGCCTAAGGAAGGACCCTCAGGAAGTGATGTTTGATTGGACATCTGGAGGCTAAATGGGAGAGAGAGACAGGTGTGCAGTCAGGAGGAATTGCACATCGAAGGACAGGCTGAGACTCTGAGAATGGGGGTGGGAGGAAGAGGAGAGGCGGCTACAGGGGCTGAGGCAGGAGGATTGCTTGAGCCCAGGAAGTCAAGGCTGCAGTGAGCCGTGATCATGCCACTCTACTGCAGCCTGAGCAACACAGTGGGACCCTGTCTCAAAAAGAAAGAAACACCCCCAAAGTTGGTCGTCCCTACAAGAGTGTAGTTGCTCTTTAATCTTGAATTTTTGCTTATTTTGCAAGAGGTATTTGCCACCAGACCAGGTCTGGTGGGCCAGGTGAAGAAATTTGGAGTTGATTTTAAGAGCAAGCGCAGGCTATTGGGGACAGGGAGGTCAAGAGAGTCACAGGATTCTGCGTGGGTTTTCAAACTGGCTGGCTGCATGGAAGAGAGCTGCATGTGGGAGACGTGTAGGAGAGGGAAGGACAGCACTCAGGGTGGTTGAGACGAGGCGGATGGGGTCAGGCGGGCCTCACTCCTGCAGTTCTGACTTGTGAAGTGTGCTCAGGGATGGTGCCACTGCCTAAAGAGGAAGAGAGAATTTTGATAACAACTCAGCACTGTTCTCTCTTAATCCCTGCAACAGCCATACTATGTAGGTTCTGTTATTACCCCATTTCACAGATGAGAAAACAGGTGCTGATAAGTTGTCTAGAGTCGCACGGTAAGTGTTCAATTGATGTTCGCTACTACTGCCTCTGTCTACTCATGGAGTCATTCATTCATTCGTGGACTGTGTGCTGTATGTAAGATAACACACTGTCAAACAGAAGAGATTTGAGCTCTGCTCTTGAGAAAGACTGGGAGTGGGAGAACAGACAATAAATAAGCAGTTATCTTGCATGGACAAGCTGGTCAGGGATGGTAGGACAGTCTAGGTTTCTTAGACTGGAATGTTAGAATTCTAGCTCTTGCATAAATCTTGGATGGATATACAGGGAAAACACGCATTACTGACAAAGCAAAAAAATGTTTCCCAGATGTTCTCTGAGGTTCCACAGGCATCCCCACTGAGTTAGATCAGAAGTAGACCTTGTGCCGGTTTTCTAGGTGGGAGGCTAAAGATGCGAGAACAGCAGTGCAGTCTTGCCAAGGATGCAGAGAGCTAGGGTTCCAGGTGCCTCCGCTCCCGCTGCTCAGCAGGGTCAGCTGCCTGTGGGCCCACAAAGGTGGGAAGTGGTAGGAAAGGCCCACATCTGACTGCCTCTGTACAGGTCAATCACAGCTCCCTGTGCTCTACTATATATAGTAACGACCTTATATAAGAGTGCTATTAAAAAAAGAACGACAGAGAGGAAAAGAGAATGCCAGCTGCATTTTTTCCACTAAAGCTCATTTTTAACAGATGTGTTTTCTCTGCTTCCATGATGACAGTGTACCAGGGGACTGTTCCAGGTCAGGAGGGGAGCAGCCCAGGTACTTGTAGGACTGTGATTTGGTCCGTCTGTGCTGAGCACAGCTTGCTCAGCACAAGGTAGATAAAATTACTATTTCATGTGACTCTCCTCCTCAGTTCCCATTTTCCTGGTGTCTGTGGGAAGAGGGCTATGAAGAAGAATGAAAACACTGTGAAAATAGTTTAAACAACTTTACAATATATTTGGGATAATGCTGAAAAGCAGTGTTCTAAGTTCAGCAAAATGGGTGATTAACGTATAAGTGGTAGGTCTGTCTTAAATGCTTCAAATTATACTTCATGATCTTTTAATTAAGGCTTTCTTACTGCATCGGATCTCTTATACACTCTAGTACCCAGTGATACACATATTTTGTTAATTTTTGTGTCTATTTGTACAGTGTGTGACCTTGACATTGGTTAATATTCATGGGTTGGCTACATGCTCCCTGTTCCCCAGGACAGCCAATTTGCCAGTTGTTAAGAGTTCTATATAGTTCAGCCTTTGTCCCAGATTAAAGGGTCCACATCTGGACAATAAATTATTTACATGACTATCCGGAATACTAATAGCTCACATGTATCGACGGCTTGCTCGAACATTGCTCAGAACACTTTATATGTACTAACACGTTTTGTCTTCACAGTCTGGGTAAGTGCCGTGATGACCTCCATTTTATTTTCGAGTCGGTGTGTACATGCGCAGGTTGTTTCAAGGGCGTATTCATGATGCTAAGCTTTGGGATTCCATTGATCCTCTCCCCAGGTGGTGCACACAGTACCGAGTAGGAAGATTCTCAGCCCCTCCCCACCTCCTTCCCTCCTGCTTTTGGAGTACCCAGTGTCTGCTGCCCATCTTCATGTTTGTGGGTTTTCTGTGCCTGTGTTAATTTGCTTAGGATGATGGCCTCCAGCTGCATCCATGTTGCTACAAAGGACATGATCTTGTTCTTTTTTATAGCTGTGTAGTATTCCATGTTGTGTATGTAGCACACTTTCTTTATCCAGTCCACCACTGACGGGCATCTAGCTTGGTTCCCTGTCTTCGCTGTTGTGAACAGTGCTGTGATGGGCGAGCATACGTGCGTATGTGGGGCTTTCGGTAGAATGATTTATTTGCCTTTAGGTATATACCCAAAACTGGGATTGCTGAGTCTAATGGTAGTTCTATGTTTAGTTCTTTGAGAAATTTCCAGACAGCTTTCCACAGAGGCCTAATTTGCATTCCCACCAGCAGTGTATAAGTGTTCCCTTTACTCTGCAGCCTCTCCAGCAGCTGTTGTTTTTTGACGTAGTAGCCATTCTGACTGGTGTGAGATGGTATCTCATCATGGTTTTGGTTTGCATTTCTCTGATGATTCGTGATGCTGAGCATTTTTTTAATGTTTGTCAGTTGCTTGGATGTCTTCCTTTGAGAAATATATGACCCCCATTTTAAAGATCAAGAAGCAGGTTCAGAAAGATTAAGAGACTCGGCCAGTAAATAATAGAGTCTAAAATTTAAACGCAGGCAGTCTAACTCCAGAGCTTACATGCATAAGAAGTACCTTTCATTCCTAAACCAGTTAAGAAGTGTATGAATAAATCTCCCAGAGGATGGAAGGGTCCTTTGGAACTGGGAAGTTCTTTGAGTCCTTGAGTAGAAATGCTCCCCCCGTTTGCCAGCACAGGGGCCCTTTTCGGGGGAGCCTGTGAGCACCATCCCGCAGTCCAGTTAACTGAGTACAAGGTGCAAGGCGTATTCGTTTTTCTTTCTTTCAAAAACATAAATGTTAGAAAAGTTCAGAAATAGAAGTATAGACTTGTAACTGTTGGAACCTTCCTTCCTTCTCTCCACAACCCTTCTCTCATGCCCATTCCTCAGCCTCCATGTTTTCACAAACAGTGTGATTGCTCCGATTTTGTTAGCTAGTTACTGTGGCAAATGAGAAATCGCTGAGTGATTGGTATGTACCGCCTCCAGAAGCAGCGCTCTCTAAGAAGGTGTCACTGTTTACATTAGCACGTTGTGCTAATGCTTCTTTGCATCTCAGGGTTGTTTATTTATAAATTATTTGTTTTAAGATGTGTTATTAGCTTCATTAACACCATTGTGGACTTCACATTTAGAACTTTTCTTCCCCAACTCTTTTTTACTTATTTTTCATGAGAATAGTCCTTATATCAAGATGAAAGAAAGCTAAAACACCAGGTAGAATTCACAAACTGATAAATAACCCTATTTAAATCCATGGAAAGGTAATATTTAAGGGAGGTTTGTTTTAATTGATTTTTATTTTATGTGTACACATTAACTGCCTAAATCTTACCTTTCACACCAAGAAGCCTAGATCAGTGAGTGTGTTAAGATGCTGATGGCTGAGAGCAAAAGTAGATGACCTAAAGTTTTCTAACAAACTAGACATCACTAGAGGAAACCCAAGTGTGTTTCAGGAGCAGCGGCAGGTCTGCCTTAGTCTTCTAATCACTGTATCACCCTGTTAAGATCAATCAGATACAAAAATCTTTGGCCAGAACCAGTCTTACAGAAGAAACTAAGAATTTCCACTTTCTTGTCTTTCTGTTCACCATAACACAGGCATGTATCAAAAAGTACATAGAAACATTGGAAGAGCATCACATGCACTTTCCTAAATGTGCCTAATGCTTTCCCTGGTGTTACTGTTACTGCTGTCGGCAGTGTCACTGTTCCAATGAGCCTGTAGTCACACACACTGCTCCCCACACAGCAGCTCTTCTGAGCAGAGCAGCCCCCTGCCCTGTGACTCACTGAGAAACATAAACTCTGATTTCTTAGAGCAAAATTTCAGATTTGAAGAAGTTTTCCTAATAAGGAAGAATGATGTAATGTTCATGGAGGGGGGCCAGGTTCCCTTCGTTTGTTTTATTTATCTTAGCTGAATTCCAGGGGAAAACGGGCTATGAACATGAGGGCTGATAACTATATTTAGCCACACAAAGTTAGTAACATCAAGGGGCATTTTTTCTTTAAGTTCTAAACTCATAAATGGACTGAAGGATATTTTTCCAGGCATCTTGTTTTTATAAGGTTTGAGCAAGCATAAATACTATTAAGATGTGACCTTTTGAGTGTGGAGAAAGTATCCGTTGTAATCTCTTTAAGTTGGCATGTTTCTCTTAGATACTGGTTTCTGGGTCAAAAGATAGATAACTAATAACAATACCTTGGTTCAGAAGATTGTATTAACTTCCAGAGTGCCCACACCTGTCATCCCAGCACTTGGGGAGGACAGTGCCAAAGGATTGCTTGAGCTTAGGAGTTGGAGACCAACCTGGGCAACAGAGGGAGACCCCATCTCTATAAAAGTTAAAAAAAAAAAATCAGCTGGGCACGGTGGCACATACCTGTAGTCCCAGCTACTTGGGCCTGGGAGGTCGAGGCTGCAGGGAGCCGTGATTGCACCACCACACTCCAGCCAGGGCAACAGAATGAGACCCTGTCTCAAAAACAAGAAGAGCAGAAAGTGAAAACAAACAAATCCAGAGTGGGCTTTAACAGGCAGGCAACAGCAAGTGACCATAGTTTCTTAGAAAGATAATATGTGTTTACGAGCCCTGTTCTGCCCATTGTCTGGCACTGTTCGATCTAGATTCACTCCCATCCCCTCACCTTACTCTACATATCAAATTAGGCTGTGCATCTTAAGATGGTAGACTTCATTTTTGTACTTTTGCGTTTTATTTAAACATATTAATTGGAGAAAATCAAATTTGTAGCATTAAACATAAAACCTCAGCGTTATAATTGGTCATTCCCTCCTCTTGTCAACGTATTACAACATTTTTGCTTTGCTCTGTGACATGACTCAGTGCTTACATTCTACTTTCCATGAGAAAAAAGTCAGATTCATCCCTGCCGCTGCTCCTGAAACACACTTGGGTTTCCTCTAGTGATGTGTACTTTGTTAGACAACTTTAGGTCATCTACTTCTGCTCTCAGCCATCAGCATATTAACATGCTCACTGATCTAGGCTTCTTGGTGTGAAAGGCAAGATTTAGGAAGTTAATGTGTACACGTAAAATAAAAATCAATTAAAACAAACCTCTTCCTTAAACATTACCTTTCCATGGAAAGCCTGCCATCTTCTGCCCTTCACCTAAGTCTTCAGAGTGGACACTTCCTCCCCATGACTGGCTGTTACCCATTCTCACTGCAGCAGGCGGGCTAACTCCCAGACAGCCGTGGTCTTGTAGTTGATCTGAATAGGATGAACATCTCTATGGAAACGAGTCTCCTCTGACTGCCTGAAGGAGGAGGCTGTGCTGGAGACAGTGCTCTCCTAGGTCGATGGATAGCACCGATGGTGCCCCAGACATGCTGACATGTGTGAATGTCTTAGGTAACTGGAACAGTTTGAGAAAGGCACTCTTAGAATCATTTCTAATATTACTTGAGAGGTCAGCAAGTGGGAAGCTTGTAAAAAATTGGGAGACAACTTTTTGCCATTACGTGGAAAAATCTATCACTACTGCCCCAAATACTGAGCCTCAGAAAGCAAGTCCTCAGATTCTGAGGCTCTGTGGTATGATTCCTCTTCAGCAGAGCATCTGGCGAACCCCTCGTAGGGCAGACAGACAGTAACCCTCGTGAGAAGTGAGGGAACTTGTAGACTAGGCCTCAAGGAGAGCTGTGCAGTAGAAATAGGATGTGAACCACAATATCAATGCAGACCCCATACGCAGTTTCAGTTTTCTAGTAGTCACATTAAAAAGGAAAAGGAAATTGTAATAGTACATGTTATTTAACCTAATCTATTCAAAATATTATTTTAACATGTAAATACAAAAATTAGTCATGATCATTTTCCAGTCCTTTAAACTGGATTTTTAAAATCTGCTATCTACTTGACACAGCACATCTCAGTTCCGACTAACCACTGTTGAAGCACTTAATCGCTACATGTAGCTAACGGCTACCATAGTGGGACAGTGCAGGTCTGGGGGATGTGGAGTACTCAGAACCAGTACTGTGGAATTGATGGTAATCACTCCAAATGCTCATCTCTTACCTTTTCACATCTGAAAATGGCTGCTGAATTTACAAACCAGATAGCAGTAAAAGGGCCAATCCCAGTGATAGAAATGAGGTTCAGTCAGTGGAGAAGGGTCTGTTGATACCAGATCCTCAACCACAGCCATGCACAGCTGAACAGAAAACCCCTCTGATTCCCAGGGCAGGAGTTGGGGTGGAGGGCTGGGCATTCAGGCAGAAAGTCTGAAATACATCAATGTAGTCATTTCAGTAATAAATGCTGTGAGTAAATAAAACAGGATAACAAGAGAGAGAAGGAAGTGCTCTTCTTGCTCACTCCGACAGTTGAGTGAATCTTCTGGGAAGTGAGCTGTGTTGTGGAATGTGATTTTCTTTCAGCCTCAGAGTCAGGTACAGTGGCTCACGCCTGTAATCCCACACTCTGGGAGGCTGAGGTGGGCGGATCACTTGATGTCAGGAGTTTGAGGCCAGCCTGGCCAACTTGGTGAAACCACATCTCTGCTAAAATACAAAAGTTATCCAGGCCTGGTGGCACACATCTGTAATCTCAGCTACTTGAGAGCCTGAGGCACAAGAATTGCTTGAACCCAGGAGGTGGAGGTCGCAGCAAGCAAGACCACGCCACTGCACTCCAGCCTGGGCGACAGAGCCTCAAAAACAAGCGAACAAACAGAAAATTCAGCCTGAAGAAAATGCTTCCTCCAGTCCTCAGCATGACTAGAGATCCTCATTTTTAAGAGAGGATTTCATTATTTAAAACACAATACCCAGAGAAATGGAAGAAGCTGGTTTCTGTGTGCTTCAAATAATATTTTGGTGTAAGGCCTCAGATGACTTCTTTCGCTCAGGATACCACAGCTGACACAGCTAAAATATGAAATATGGCCTAAATCATACACAGTGAGCTGATAACCTAGGAAATATTTTCTGTTTTAACCAAGGCAAACAAATTAAAATTTTAATGTTTTGTTTTCTTATTTGCTTAAGTAAACCTCAAAACGAATGACTTCCACAGAATTTGGCCTCAGCTACATGCATGACTAGTGAATGCTATCGAGAGTGTGGGACTACACTGAATAAGTGTATTGAGTATGGAAGTTTTGTGTTTAAAAAAATCTTAGTAAAAAAGCACTAGAACCACCATAGAGTAGATATCTCTATGCTTATGATACGCAGAGTAGCTTAGGAGGGAACCTGAGAAATGGTAGCAGGATTTGGTTGATGCTGGAGTGGGAAATTGGACTGGGAAGAAAACGTATGAGATGAAAATATACTTTTCAGTGTTCTCTTTGTATTTCTGGCATTTTGAAGAGCAGATGTTTTTAATTCTGATGAAGTCCCAATTCATCCTTTTTTTTTTTTTTTCCTCTTACAGATCATCCTTTCGTTGTCTTAGCTAAGAAATCTTTAACCTGTGGTCACAAAGATTTTCTTCTGATTCCTTCTTGAAATTTTATAGTTTTAGATTCACATTTATGTTGAAGGTTTTATTTTTATGTATTTATTTTTAGAGATGGGGTCTTGCTCTGTCCCCCAGGCTGGAGTGTAGTGGCCACAAGATCATAAGCTCCCGGGTTCAGTCGATGCTCCATCTCAGCCTCCCGAGTAGGTGGGACTACAGGTGTGCGTCAACATGCCGGCTAATTTTTTAGTGTTCTGTAGAGACAGGGTCTTACTTTATTGCCCACGCTGATCTCAACCTTCTGGGCTCAAGTGATCCTCCCCCTTCAGAGTCCCAAAGTGCTGGAATTACAGGCATTAGCCACCATCTCTGACCTGCTGAAGACTGATATTAGTTAACTTTCGCATAAGGTGTCAGTTGTGAGCTGAGGTTGGAAATCAATAGGGTTTGGAGGGGTTTTTTTTTTTTATTCTTACCACTTTTGTATTCTTATGCACTAATTATGTGTATTCTTACCACTTTAAAAAAAGGACTTAATTTCAAAAGAGATTAAAAAGAAATATTGTATAGAAATGTCTGCAGTTATAATTAGTAGTTCCATTTTAGAAATAAAAAGTTGTTTTATTTTGCTTCATTTTGAGATAGGATCTTGTTCTGTCACCCAGTCTGGAGTGCAGTGGCACAGTTGTGGCTCACTGCAGCCTTGTTCTCCTGGCTCAAGCAAGTAGCTGGGACTACAGATTTCGCACCACCACACCTGGCTAATTTTTTAATTTTTATTTTTAGCGCGGATGAGGTTTCACTATGTTGCCTAGGCTGGTCTCAAGATGTGGGCTGAAGTGATCCTCCCGCCTCAACCTCCCAAAGTGCTGACATGACAGGCCTGCAACACTATGCCCACCAAGAAAAAGTTTTCTTATGACTACCGTACTGATTCTCAGGAATAGTCGTTGTGCTTTAATTCTCTGAGCCAAAAACGTCAACTTCTCTTGGGCAAGAAGGACCATGTTTCGATTGCACTTTCTCATATGGCCCCCTTGCCTTCAGCCATTTTCATAATCTAAACTTGATGGCAGTGTCTTGTGATAGGGTGAGAAATGAAAAATGGTAAAAGCCATTTGTTAGGGTAAATCTGAACTAATTATGTAGATCAGCTGAAATAAAAAGGGTTACAAAGACAAGTTTTCTGTCTTCAGGAGGGAATGTAGATACGAAAACTTCATTGGTGATGAAAAGCTATGGATAAATTTGCATTTGCCAGATCTGCTTAGGGAGAATATATACACCAGGTGGAGGAAGTCTTCCCACACCCCTTCTGGAAGGACTGAGATCCTGCCACCAGCCACATGTTGCAACATCAACAGAAGGTCCTCAGATTGCCTTCCACGAAGGAGGGGAGTGGGCCTGTTGAATGCTTTCATTTTGTGATACTGAGAACATGTGAGCTGCTCAGCCCTTTGCCAGAGCTGGGGCTAGCCTCTTCCAATAAATGCTAAAAGATGACTACTGCTTAGAAGGTGCACCTATCAGCATGAGCCCATGTGTCTCAGGTTCTTTCAGGCCATTACCATGCATGAATAATGTACATTTGATGGGAGATGATCGTCTCTCCCTACTCAAGTTTGGAACTATTTGGCAGATATAGTGAGGAGTCAGAAAGAAATGCAAGTACCAGATTCATACTGGGAAGAACTCAGGAGAAAGGGATGTACTGCTGGGCCTTGTGAGCTGGCTTCTATTTCACTCTTGAGCTAAGCAAGCTGATACCCACTCACAGGCAGCATTGAACAGCTCCACGTAGATCCCCCCTCCAAAAAAACAGGAAGAAAAAGCCCTCTCACTACACCAAGATCTAAAGAAAGAAGAGCAAGGGAGGGGCTGATAGGGGCATGCCCAGCTCCATCCCCCACCCATATTCGCCATAAAGGGAGGAGACGGCAAAGAGGGCCCCCATCCTGGAAATCCTTCATGGGAAGCAGTGAAGGATGTGGGGCCCACTCCATCTGTGTCCAGGGTTCTGCTGATCCTGTGTGGTAATTTTGAAAGATGATAGCATGATGCTCCTGAAAGGAAAAAACAAGAGTTTCATCTATTAGTTCATTAACATATATCATGAATGACTTTAATGTCTTCTGGTTCATTTTGACATTTTTGTAAATTCTATACATCTTTTATTTACTTCCATGATAAATTTTAAAGATAACAAATGTCCACAGCAAGGAAAAAAACTACTAGTAAATTTGTAACTTTTATATTTCTATGCTTTTAACTGTTACATTAATCTTGTCTTATTCAAAATGTATTCACCACAAAAATACTTACTAATCTTGGTTTCCTGGTATGAACTGCTTGTGCTTCTGAGATTAGAGATATGCTTTTCTTCACCGGTGGCCACAGTCAAGATAAGATCATGCCTAAAAGGACAAGTTAGGAATAGAAGTGTAATTAAGTATATTCTGTGTTAGTTTTACTTAGGACTGTAATTCTTTAGCAATTTCATCATATTTAGACTTGAAAATATGCGTGACTGCCAATACTGATATCCATGAATATATCCATGAATATATGCCTGTTACTTCCAGGCAGTTGGTCACCTTCTATCTTCAGGCCCTTGTTAGAACCTGACAGATTTTGCATGTATCTTTTTTTCGTTCTTTGTAATGTTTATCTGTATTCTTGTTAGAAATAACTTTCTGGTTCAGTTATTTAAAAGATTAAGCCTTTTAGTGAAAGCAGTTCTCACCTTGGTGTCATCACTTGAGAGGCTGGCAGCGAAGAAACGCAGCTACTCTGGGCTCGGCCGGAGCCTCCTGTATGGCTCTGCACCAGCCACAATTGTTACTCAGCTGGATGAGGTTCCGGTGCCTTCCACGCACACGTGCTGGGCTTCCCCGTGTCCCTAGCACACAGACACTATAAATACTTAGTGGCTTTTTCCATTGTTTGAAATCTTAAAAAGAAAAGGCACATTCTGGTGTACATACTACCTCCATACATGAAGGGCCATCTACTGTATAAATCTTACAGTATAGTCATGAATTCCAGATGTGGTGTGCAACAGACTTCATTATTTACATGTTTTGGAAAAGATTAATAAAGTACAGCAAAAGAAGCTCAGTGCTACAGCTGTACATACTGTACTCTATTCTTTTGAATAGCAGTTCAAGATTTTGCAGCATTTTTATTGTATTGGAAACAGTCACAGATACCATATTATAGAAAACTCTGTTTGATAGAATGCCAGATATAACTTGACTATACACAGTCATATATAACCACACTGGAAACTTCATGTAACTACGATAAATTTCCCTCATTTTTTCCTTTGGAGTAATTACATTAGATAATTGAGCTGTTTCATCTAAGAATTTATTTTTGTGGTTGTAGTCATTTCTCAGGGAGGGAATCTCATTTATTACAGTTCTCCCCAAGGCACCCTGGATAGACCTCATCCACTGCTGGAAAGCCTGGCCCTGCCTGCTGAGGGGAAATGGCTGGGCAGCACTGTCTTCACTGCATCTCTTCCTCTGGCCTCTAAGGAATGTCAAGGTCAGCTGGTCAAAAAGCTAAGAAGGGCCAAAGCCATTTACAACTTAGAGTTCTTTTCCACGGTCACAGTCTCTTAATTCATGCTGCTAGGCTGCATCTCTTGAGCTTGCCAAAATGCATTTTTGAGCTTTTTCAAGAACGTTCTCCTACTTCAGATGAGAGGTTGGGATGGGAGTCTGATGATCAGGCAAGCCCAGCCTTCACACCACGGAACCCTTGGCTTGTATATCTTGGCCATTAGCATTTAAACTAGCAATGGTCGACCTGTAAGAGGAAATAAATTACCCTGAGTACCCAGATCCAACTGTGCATTCCTCACATTGATTGCGAGACCAAAATATGTAGAAAATGTTATTGGCGACATTATTATTATTTATTTAGAAATGTTTAGTTCTTTAGTTACAGGCCTATGTTAATAGAAATTTGAAAAGTCATCTTTATAGAGTTGTTTATCAGCATGTGATAGAATGTTCCCAGATTGCAGCATATTTAGATACAATCTCTCAAGAGATGGAACAGCATAACAGATGAGTAATATTAGTAATATTCAGATGTACAATCATAAAAGACTAAAAAGTGAATTTTATAGCATGGGCGAATTTTAAAAATATTTAAAGGGGACTATTTAAAAATAATCCAATGATCTATTGCAAAGATATGAAGAAAGTCAGACTGAGAATGATTTAGGCAAGGCTGCACAGATAATTGGTGGCACAGTCATGTCTACCAGGGAAAGCACTAAGTAACCCAGTGGAGGAGATGCTAAAAGGGCTGCTGGTGACTGAAAAACAAGGCAATTTAGGCTCACGCCTGTAATCCCAACACTTGGGGAGGCCGAGGTGGGAGGATTGCTTGAGCCCAGGGGTTTGAGACCAGCCTGGGCAACATAGTGAGACACTGTCTCTACTTAAAAAAATAAAAAATAAAAAAATAATCCACCTAGGTATGGTGACACACACCAGTAGTTCCAGCTACTCAGGAAGCTGAGACGGAAGGATCGCTTGAGCCCAGGAAGCTGCAGTGAGCCAAGATCAGATGCCACTTCACTCCAGCCTGGGCAACAGAGCAAGACCCTGCATCATTCACAAACACACACATACCAAGCTATTTTTAAGAATCCAAATCCAGTTATTTTGGACATGATTCTTCTTGTGTTTATTTTTTTCTACAACAAACACTGTGTTCGAAAGGAGAGACAGAACTATAAGTAGATAGGAACTTCCATGCCATGAAATTCCATGGTAGTATTTATTGCCTTTATGTGATATGTCTCTTGATTTTTCTCAGAAATTTGAATTAATATTATACTTGGAAAATATGAAGTAAGCAGCTTTATCAGTTGGTTTCATCCTCCTGTTCAGATATTTTGGATGTACAATATTTAGCTATAAATACAGGTTGTTTGGTTAGTAGAGACCAACTATTCACTAGTTTCTCAATATAGTGAATGCTAGTTGATAGTTCTTCAGCTGAAATAAGAAATTCTGGAAGCAAATTTAATTTCTTAGTTTCAAAATCAATTCCTTCAGGTTGCTTTGTACATTCTTACAGTTTTCCCGGTAAATAAAAGTTTTTACGCCTAGCATGAGACACAGCTCCCTAAAATTGTATGTATGGAATGTGTTCAGGACGTAGCTGGGCTGTCTCTATAGCTGTGTTGAGCGCCATTGCAGTGTCCACATCCCAGTAACAGAGAGGCAGGATAGAAGCAACAGACTGAGAGCCACAGTCTTGAGTGGAACCCAAATTAGAAAGGTCCTCCGTGTCTGAGGAAGTCACGTTGCACATGGCAAAAACTAGATAAGTCACGGTGCTTTGATCAGAGACATGGCAACATCATGGTCGTGAGCCAGAGCGCTTCAGTTTCCCATCTCCTCTTCTTTCCCACTGCATGGTCTCGTGCCTCAATTACTAGGTATCTTTGTGCCTGAGTTTCTTCATCTGTAAAATGGAATGGAGATAATAAAAATGGCCTCTCTCCTAGGGTTTTTATAAAAATTAAATGAGCTTATATGGCTAAAGTGCTTAAAATGGCGTTTGGTACATAGCAAGTGCTCTATCACAGTAAGCGCTCGTCACTAGATAGTGGTGACGCTGTTGGCGCTGGCAGCAGTAGCAACAGTCATTCTTGATGACATTCTTTGGAAAAGGCCTCCTGGCAGCATTAAACACAGGGAATGGATGAATGGATGCCCTTCTCAGGCCTCCAGGATACTTTGTTGCTGTCCAAGACCTTCTTTACCTTACAAACTTCTGGAATTTGATGTTTTAAGAGTCGTTTTAACCAGTCTATTTTTATATGCACATAGTTTAAGAGAGTCGATCAGTATAGAAGATTATAAAATGCCAAAATGAGAGACTTCCTCCGTCTGCCTCATTTCAGTCTCACTCTCCAGAGGTCAACACTTGAAACCATTTGTTTTCATTTGTTCTGGTGGTTTCTTTCACAAGTTTATGAACAGTCTGTGTATTCATCCATTTATTGATTCTCAACTTCCGATAGTGCTATTAGATTAACCCTTACGTTCTTTTTTTTTTTGAGATGGAATTTCACTCTTGTTACCCAGGCTGGAGTGCAATGGTGCAATCTCGGCTCACCGCAACCTCCGCCTCCTGGGTTCAGGCAATTCTCCTGCCTCAGCCTCCCGAGTAGCTGGGATTACAGGCGCGTGCTACCATGCCCAGCTAATTTTTTGTATTTTTAGTAGAGACGGGGTTTCACCTTGTTGACCGGGATGGTCTCGATAACCCTTATGTTCTTAACAGCAAGATGTTCTTGTTGGGCCTTCGGCACCAACTGGCTGATAACAGCGATTTCTTGATCTCCTTGTGCTTCCATTTGTGTATCTGTCAAATAAGGAAATTGGACTTGTCGGTTTCCAAGACCCCTTTCTTAAAAGTGTTAAGAGACTTTGAACGAATTTAAGTAAAAAACAAGAAAGAAAGAGAATTCAGAGATGAAACTGTTCTGAGGGTTATCTGGATCCTGCTGCTAAAACCATGTTCAAATTTTAACCGCTTCTCTCCCTTTTTCTTTCATCTAATGAATTGGCTGCTTTTTATATACTAGCTTCCATTTTGTAGACCCTTCCATAATGACCAGGAACTCCAGAGGATTCTATCCTTCTAGACCCATCCCTTCCATCCTCAGTATGAAAAGTCCCAGGGAAAGGCCCTGATTGGCCTGGCCTGACCTGGGTTGTATACTTATCCTGGGATAATTTGCTAAAGCCATATGCCAATTGACTAGTCCTGAATCACATGCTCACCCGGCAGCCAAAGTTGAGAGGGTTGTGACTAGCAGACCCACAAGGAATAGGGTAGAAGCAGATCTGTAAGGAGGGAGGAGGGTTACCAGATGAAAGAAGAATGGTAGAGAATAAAAACAGATGTCTGCCTTGCTTGCAGTTTCAGGAAACTGACTTTAAGAAGAAACTCATTCAATCCTCCACCTACTAGTGAGTCATGACTTGCTTATATGAATGCTTACTGCCATGCATTCAACCATCGGCCTCATTCTTCCAGAAGTAAAGCATGACCTCCACCTACACATTCTTTAACTTAGTATCAGCCACAAGCAGTTCCCAGCAGGACGTCCACAACACTTGAAAGATGAATACAGATGTGAGTGTGATGTTCCAGGCAGACATCAGTGCTTTAGATTCTAGCTCAATACAGTCACTCCATGGCGGCCTTGTTAGAAACACTCTGGTCTTTATGACTTCTGCACTACACAATGGACACGCAAGGGAACTGTTTCCTCTCTCTGTACAGGGACCAACTTTGTTATCTCAGGATACAGTCTCTGTTTTGAAAAAGTCACTGTAGAACAGTACAGGTATGGGAAGAATGGGCTCACTCAAAAAGAGCTGCCTAGAGATGACTGAGGTTCTTACCAAGAACTGGAAATATCCCAAGGCCTTTCTCCTCAAGGTAAACAGAAACTTACTGCATTTTTGACTGATAACCAAATAAAATGGAAACTGGGCAGCAGCACAGGCTGCCACTGCCTAGAACATGATGGAGTGCCTCACAGATGCCAGATTAGGAGCTGTATTACCAGGTTCACAAATGCTCTTGTTCAGGTTTGGGAGTTTCACATTTTGGATACTAACAAGCCAGAAATCTATGAGTACTGTTACTATAAGAGTTCTGATACATACAATCTCCTTTATTAGAAGAAGCATTTCCCTTTCCTGTATTCCACACGAAAGGATGCCTGGCAAACTTCTGACAGGTAGTAACTGACATCTATATCAAAACACTGTAATAATCAACAAGACAGAACACATCTGGCTCTGGGTGATCTGGGCTGGTGTGTGAGATAATGCCGTGCCAGCCTTGTGGGCTGGAGTAGTTGGAGGAGGGAGTAAGAACTGCTAGCTGTTATTAGGGAAGGCTTCAAGAAGAGATGGGCATTGAAACGGGCATAGAAGGATGAAGACAGTGGATGGAGAGAAGTTGGTGGGAATGACCGTCCAAGAGGGCAGTGCATGAGAAGAGGCCAGCAGGAAGGAAAACTCAGAATCGGTCTGGGGAACACTAAGAGTAACTAA